TTTTAAGCATAAGGATTTGTGATAGTGGTGCTCAGTCTCTAGTAAACTGTTCTGAAAAAAAAAAATAGTTATGACAAAAAATAAAAGCGGATTCAGAATTCAACCTATTTGCTTGTAGCGAGGAGGATTCAAGTGGAAAATTTAAGCAGCATCTGAGACTTGTTTACTGACAGCTGAAGCTGACAGAGTTTTGTGACATCTTATATTGTTTTTACCTGTCTTTTTGCACTGGATCTACAAAATGAAATACAGCTGTTATCAATATATTTTTTTATTCTTGGTTGGCTTGTTTATTAGGTTGTGGTTGAGAAATGCGCCGCTCGACAAAAAGAAATCGGAAATCATCGTTTTCAAAAATAAGCTAATGTTAGTAAGCTTACTTCGGCTTGCTGGACTATGCAAAACGTCTTAAGCGATTCTGGCATTACTTGATGGTTTCCGAACTGCATCTCAATACACGTCTTCGTGAATAAAAATTGTCGTCCTTCTTAATCGTTCTTTGAATTATATTTCTTGTCTTGATTTTTGTCAAGACCTCTTTCTTATCGCCTTGCTAGTTGTTGTTTTCAGTCGTTCGTGAACATCGCATATTGGAGTACTTAAAATGTGTATAAAATGAATATGGTGTTTTACAAGTAAAATGCAAACGTAAATGATTCTGAGACCTCCTCCTCATTACTAGCCTTCATTCGAATACTCGACAGCTCGCATTGTAAGTTTTGGCGCTTAGCAAAATTCAGAATTAGCTGGTCGGACGGGTGATTTTGTAAATTGATTAAAATATATTTTTTCGAACGTTTTTGCTCAAAGCCCATTATTACCCAGCATACCACATAATGGCAGATTGACCGAACTGAACATTCCCGTCTAATGGTGTATTCTCTATACAAAAACGTCTTATGGTGTTATTTTTATAATTTGTTGTGGAAGGGAAGCGCGTGCTTCGATCGTCCTGAATATTGAATGAGTACAATTTGCCTTGTAAGAATATTCTGTAAAAAACTGCAGAATTACTGTGTAATTAAAATAGGGCAGACAATGACAAATTCTGTTCGAGGTCTAAAAACAAACAATGTCTGATAGTTCTGTTTACCTCAGAGATGGTGTAAAAAGACTAGGGACCATTCATTATTTATGCCAGGGGGTAGGCTGGCAAGAATAAGGGGTGGGCCAGGTCAAATTCAGGACAGTCTGAGGTGGGGGGGGGGTCATGAAAGGGGGTCATGAACAAATTTGCACACAAAGGGGGGGCTACCTTATTTGTTATTTTTGTTTTGTTTTCAAACAAATACTTTCAGTGCTCTCGGGACTGACGGTAAATGGTTTGCAAGCCTCCTAAAGGCTAACAGTTCATCACAATTTCTACGAAATGATATGTCCCAATAATACGTCCAGAGGTCTTCCTCGTTAGTTTTGGTCCCTGAGGAGTTCCCACTAATGCAATGATCAACAACAAGGTCAAGCTCGCAGTCACTTATTTCCACAGAATTACTAGAAGACAATACTTCCTGCTATTGCCTAGAAATGTTTGCGACGATTTTTAAACTTTTTTGAAAGAAACATGAGCGATGATTCGTTGGGTTTTACCGTTCTTTTTATCTTGTCCTTTAGTGAAAGTTTAAAGTGAAATAAATCCTTTTTTTTTTAACTTTATCTCCTGGATTTCACCAGCGTGAAATAGAGTGTCCCAGTTAATTTACCCGGCTGTCTGACTTACATTCTATAGAGGGTTGCCACTCGCTGGAAATGAGCTTCCCAAAAATCTATATATACTTTTTTATGTTCTATGAGCCTGGTTCGTTTTCTATCAACAATTTATCTTTGACCAAAACTGTTTACTCTGGAATGAAAAACAAGCTCTCACTTGGTTTTTGATACAAAAAATAAATAAATAAAAGAACTGGCGTGTCATCTAATCCTTGCGGCTACCGTCATTGGACACTTTTCAGGCATTTTTCGCATTCGCTCCTCTTCCATTTCTGCAGATTCCTGAAGACTCAAGGATAATACGTCGTTTCCTGAATCTAAAAAACCGTTTGTGATATATTCCCTGTCTATTTATTCATTGTAGTTCCAGCACAGGAGAGAGAGCAGAGTACATCACTGAGGATGAAAAGGATCCGTTCGAGATAGTGATGCAGACTAGTTCAAACACTCAATAATCTTACCTTACGTTTGGTATTTTTGTTCTTACATACATTTTTTTTTGGGGGGGGGGGGAAGGGGAAGGCTAGCCAGTTTTTAAAGCACATTTAGAGGGGTCATGCTGTTGTTAGTTTTCCTTGGAAGGGGTCAAAACGTTTTATTGTGCTTTCTGATGGATCTTACCAGCCCACCCCCGGCATAACTCATGAATGGTCCCCTAGTTTACTCGCTACCAGACTTGTAGCGAGCCACACAAACAAACAAAATCCGGCCTGATTTTTCGTTTTGGCCTTTCCTTTAGACAGAGAGATAACGCGCCCTTCTAAACAACTCCTGAACCTTACATTTTACTTAAACAGGAGGATGAGGATTTTTTTTGTACTCTCGCTGATGCTGTGTCACAATGCGGCTCAAGTTTTTAAAATAGGTGAGTATATTGTATTTTTATCACGCAGTATATGTAGTACGCCCCTCAGCATTTTTAAGCTCCTGTCCAGCCACCTAATCAGCTCACATGGGGAAAGCAGAAACTAGTCTTTAGCTATAAACATCTGGTTACCTTTCTTTGTTTAATTTTTTTAGACAATTTTCGTTATCCGCCTTCCTTGTTCAAAAACTCACCCCCAAGTCATATATGTTTTTTCTGAATATCCTTAGTTGGGGACATTGCACTTTTAAACTAGTTGGAAAAATGGTGGGATTTAGGAAATTTGTTTAGTTTATTACGTCACCTAACAAAAAAGCAAAGAACGTAGAAAAAAGAGTATTGACTATTAAGTTCTCTGTTGAATAAGAAATCTTATGTCTTGATGTGTAAAATTACAATGTGATTTTGTAGCATGTGTTGAGATAAGAGAGGACTTTACAAGACCCGGATTTCCATTACAACACCCAGATAACTTGCCCTGTATTTACGTTTCCATTCCACCCGGAAAGGCACTGTACATCAGTTTTCCAACTTCTATCCTGGAGCCACATCCTAGATGCAGGTAAGTAATTTAACAATACACAGATTTAGAGTCACGTAAAAAAAAAAAAGCAGATAAAAACACTGAGCTCAAGGCAATTCTTATGAGTGAAACAACATGAAAGGGGTGAGACAACATTACTAACTTTTTGGTAGAAGTAATGAACAATAAACATCAAGAAAAGAGAAAACTTGGTCACGTGGTACAGATTCACGTTTCCCGTTTACCATAAAGTTAACGTGACTAATGTCGAACAATTAAAAAGCACTTAACTGTCTCAGCTTTGGTAAGAGTAGACTAGGAACTTAACTTCAGGTGGTGCTTATCACTCTAACTACGTAACATTATTGCTGGTCAAAACACACAAATTATGTTCAGCTGATACGCTGCAAGTTCCTCGATTTGTGATATTAGGCCTAGAAATAAGGCAAAACCATGCTTCTAAAAACGCTGGACGGCAAGGTAAATATATCCCGGGGAAAAACGCCGGCCAATGAGAATAGGCTTTTCATTTCATAATGAAGATAGACCTGGCTTTAGAAGCCGATTAGTATCTATCAAACGCTTTCCAGTATCGGGAAGAATCTGAAACACGCTTATTTTCGCAAACATTTACTTAAGAGAGAGTATCTATAAATAAGCGGTCCGGTCGATACTTCGTGAAAAATAGTTTTGGCTCATTTTATTTCATTATATCTTATTTTTTATTTATTTTCTCCATTTATTTTATATTACAAGCCATTTATAATATATTACAGATTTGAAGATATCAGATTTCAAGAATAAATGGAGAAGGGCAAGATGTAGAGAGACTAATTACCTGCCCTTTGATTAAATAATAGTTTTATTTTAAGAGCAGTACAATTTTGAGACAATTTTGGTTCACCCGATCCAACGCTCGCTCAAATCAAGGCTGAAAGTTTACAAAACTTTGAATTTTGATATAACACAAAAAGCCATCATATTTCCTTTGACATAAACAGAGCGTTTTCTGCGAACATTCGGCAAAATCTAACCCCATAACAAGATTTTAACGATCCCCTTCCCGCACTGATAGATCAACACGGTGGAGCCACAAAGCCACCCTCCAAGTGCCATTTGCTCTTGGATAAAAAATTGACTTAGAGCAACATAGAAACCACGATATCGTGTGACTTCCGAAAAAATATAATTTCTTCGATTCTTTCTTCTCCTAAAATACTGCCTTAGCGGTGCATTCACTAGTCATTGGCCACTGTGACAGCTATTACTTCATCAGTATACCATTTCTGTTGTTTTGGCGCAGACGGCTCGCTCTCGAAATGTTCCTATAGTTCTAGCGGCAGTGAGTGATGGGAAGCTGCTGTATCGCAGCCTAACTAAAATTCAAACTATTATTTACAAAATCGAATGTTCAATGCTGGTGTTATACTCGTAGATACGGTCAAAAGGTGTAGAAACATCTCATTGGCTAAACAGATCTGACCAATGATATGATTTTTGATCTGGAAAATGCCATAGCGTTTATAAAATCCAAATTATGATTTCACGCCTCAGGGCTTTTATGTGAGCTAAGATGAGTAAAATCCCTTTTACAGGCCTTTGTCATCTTTAAGTAGGTCGAAAGCAAGAGAACATAAAAGCCTCTTGTCGAAAGTTAATTGGCATCTGTAGGCGGCAGTAATTCAACTGTTCGGGAGTGACTCAAGAGCAACATAAAATAAAAGACTTTGATCGGCGGCTTGATATTCCACAGAAACGTTTGGAGAGTCCTCAACTCCACCATAAAGCACAAGTCGCAATTAGTTGAGGCAGGAGAACATAAAAGGCTTTTATGTTCTCTTGGCGGTTAGTGTTATTTCTAAGAATTTAACTGCCCTTAAAAAGTAAAAGACATCTTTTTTCCCTTGTAGGTTTGGTTTTTTGAAGATTTCAGATGATAACAACAGAATACTTGGTACATATTGTGGGAAGCAACTTAATGGGAAGGACGTTTTGGTAACTGGAAACCGCGCATTTATAACAATCGTCTCTGATGAAAATGAACGATACCCGGTATTCCAGCTCACCATATTGAATTATCAAAATGGTATGTTCAGATAAAAAGGGAGTCTTTTATAAAAAGGAAATAAAATAAAATAAAGTATGTATTAACTAAGTTGCCTTTCAGGTTAGATGTCAAAGTTGATGCACCTCACCTTCACCTCTAATAGAAGTTAAAGTGAGGTGCGCATTTTTTTGAAGCTGGCTCGAATTTGCATCATTTTATCGACAAGCTTTACTTTTATTGCTTGAAAAAACATGCATTTTCACTCAAAAACGCCTTGACCACCCTACTTCTTCTGACGTCATATCTCGTAACCATAGTAACTTGCCATCACTAGACTTGTCTTAAAGTGCGCGCGAGGGATAAACAAACAGCTACTGAAAACGTCATGACTCTACCTCCCCCCCGTACGTCTCAGGGTTTAGAGGCTGCTCGCTGTAGAATCGACCACTTGATTGGGTATGAAATTTCGACTCCTTTTAAAATACTAACGAGATTTGCCTTACTGTCAGGCATGCCGAACAGGATGGCTGTTTAGTTTATTACGTCACCTAACAAAAAAGCAAAGAACGTAGAAAAAAGAAAATTGACTATTAAGTTCTCTATTGATTAAGAAATCTTCATTTGATCTGTAAAATTACAATCTGATTTTGTAGGGTGTGGTTCTGTGATAAACAATACCTTGACAAGTCCTGGATTTCCAACACAATACCCAAATAACATGCACTGTGTGTACAACGTTTCCATTCCACCCGGAAAGGCACTGAACATCAGTTTTCCAACTTTTATCATGCAGTCACATTCTACATGCGGGTAAGTAATTTAATAATACAGAGATTGAGAGTCACGTAAAAAAAAAAAAAAAAAAGCAGATAAAAAAACTGAGCTCAAAGCAATTCTTATGGATTCTTATGAAGTGAAACAACCAACTTTTTTGTGGGAGTAATGAACAATAAACACCAAGAAAAGGGAAAACTTGGTCACCTGGTACAGATTCACGTTTCCCGTTTACCATAAAGTTAACGTGACTAATGTCGAACAATTAAAAAGCACTTAACTGTCTCAGCTTTGGTAAGAGTAGACTAGGAACTTAACTTAAGGTGGTGCTTATCACTCTAACTACGTAACATTATTGTTGGTCAAAACATACAAATTATGTTCGGCTGATACGCTGCAAGTTCCTTGATTTGTGATATTAGACCTAGAAATAAGGCAAAACCAGGCTTCTAAAAACGCTGGACGGCAAGATAAATATATGCCGGGGAAAAACGCCGGCCAATGAGAATAGGCTTCTCATTTCATAATGAAGATAGACCTGCAATCGGCGACAAAACGAGTTGAGACACTTCGCCCAAAACTGGGCTTTTTTACGTTTTATTAACTTCAAAAGGAGGAAATATAGCTTTCCTCCCCCATCCCCTCCGTGCAATGTTGTGCCCTTGTTCTAGCTGCCTATAGAAAACAACAAACACTCCAACTTTGAATGGAGGGGACAGGGGAGGGGTGTGGATTCATTTGTTCTCCGAAACTACCCTATTTATGCACAATGTCTCAACAATTTTGTCGCCGATTGTCTGAATCTCAAAAGTGGTCGTACGTCCTTTAGAAAGGTAATTGAATTCATTTCTTTATGCTGGGATGTAAGACCCCTGGTGGCTTTTTATTTATTGTGTTGGACTTCATCATACCTATTTTAGAACAATTAGAATAAGGCGATTTCGTTATTTCCAGTGCGTGACATTTCGTGTAACGCTTAATCGTGCCTTGACATGGTGTAATGAGGCGCGTCGCTCACGATTTCTTATTCTCTCCTTTATCGAAACGCATCGAAACAAAGAACAAAGTGAAAAGGATAGGAAACGTAATAGATTTCTACGCATTAAAGTAGTTATAATGGCTAAAATTGCTCTTTAGGAGGAATTTCCACGAGTAACCACGAGTACCCACGATGAGTATAAAAGAAAATAAATCTAATGGTCTTTTAAGAACGAAGTTGGTTACTCGTGGTTACTCGTGGCCAGTCCCCTCCAGACCTCATAGTTTCTACTGTAAAGTACAAACTTCAAAGACCCTTATGGGTATATGGGCAACGAATCCACTGCACAGATTTAGCGATGCTATGCAGCTTTGCTGTGCGTTAGAAGTTGGAACATTTTTCCTGAAAATTCTCCTGCGCATAGCAATCATGGCTATCTTATCGTCCATCCCACTCTTATCAAATAGCCAAATTTCGAATAAACACTTCGAACTTGCTAGCGATATATTCAGATACAATATATGACCTGCCATCGATTCCTACCGATCACACTTAGTTACCAGAGGAAAATCAATCATTCCGTACGTGGGTATGCTGTGTAATTACTTGAAAACACTACTGAGTACAAAGATTGTCAAAACTAATTTTCCCTCGAAAAACACAGGAAAGGGATTAAATGGGTATCTTATCTATCTTCTGAAAAACGACCCGGCGTATATAGTAATCTCAACTAGTTACCGTCTCCTAACCGGTGCTACTAAGACAACAGCGCGTAGATTTCGATTCAGACAATCGGCGACAAAACGAGTTGAGACACTTCGCCCAAAACTGGGCTTTTTTACGTTTTATTAACTTCAAAAGGAGGAAATATAGCTTTCCTCCCCCATCCCCTCTGCGCAATGTTGTGCCCTTGTTCTAGCTGCCTATAGAAAACAACAAACACCCCAACTTTGAATGGAGGGGACAGGGGAGGGGTGCGGATTCCTTTGTTCTCCGAAACTACCCTATTTATGTACAATGTCTCAACAATTTTGTCGCCGATTGTGGCTTTAGAAGCCGATTAATAGCTATCAAACGCTTTGCAGGAGTATCAGGAAGAAACTGAAACAGGTTTATTTTCGCAAACATTTACTTAAGAGAGAGTATCTATAAATAAGCGGTCTGGTCGATACGACGTGAAAAATAGTTTTTGCTCATTTTATTTCATTTTATTTTTATTTTTATTCATTTCCTCCATTTATTTTATATTACAGGCCATTTATAATATATTAGCGGAGCTCCTTGCGCGCGCGAAGCGCTCGCGAGAGGAGCACCATAACTAAGATAATTTGGTAAACTATCCATCCGAGAAATTTTGGTTATGTCGTCAGCGTACGTCCGTCCGTACGGACTTTCCGGGTAGTGGAAAGTAGTTCGCATGGACTCTTGGGGTAGGGGAAAGTAGAGATTTTTTGGCGGGAAATCGCATGGCGCAACTCGCGCAATTATATCGCGCAACTGGTTTTGAAAAAAGAAATTTCAAAGCAACTTAGCAAAAAGATTTTGCGACAGAGCCTTTATAACTTTTTACTACAACTTACGAAAGCTATTATGTCAACAAACAACAGCAGAGAGATTTTAGCGTGTAGACGACAGGTTTTAGGCAGAGAGCAAAGAGAAGGTGAACGGCAGAGAGCAAGAGTCAACACGCGTAGAGCAAGCAAAGACGATCACCAAAGAGAGCGCGTTAGAAGTAGAAGAAGAAGACAAAATTTTAGCGAAGAAAGTCGGCAAGTAGAAAGAGTCGGAGCGAGGGAAAGGAGAGAAAATTATAGTGAAAAACGCCGGCAAGCAGAACGAGACAGAGCTAGAATGAACAGACAAAGGCAACGCGAAAGAAAAATACAAAGGCAAAGAGAACGGCAGCAAAATAATGACATGAATTCAGAAAGTGTTGTGTTAATGTCACTACGACCCCGCGCTATTAACATTTTGATTTCAAACTGATCTCGGACGCGAAAATTCAGCCAGTCATTTAAAAACACAAGCAGGGAAGACAGAAGCTTTTCACTTTTCTCACCATAGTAACGCGTTGATCACACTCTACAACCGTCCAAGTTTTATGCTCTGATTGGTCAAAATTTGACAGCTGAGCTCATGCAGAAAATTTATACAGCATCTTGAACCTTGTTTACTTTGACAGCTGAAGCTGACAGATTATTATTTTTGTCAACTTGTGATGTTTTTTACTGTCTTTTTCCACTGGATGCTTAAAATGAATACAGCTGCTATCAACAGTCTTCTTTGATTCATGGCTGGTTTGTTTATTGAATTTTTGGTTGGGAAATGCGCCGCTTGTCAAAGTTGGAAATCCGATTTTCGTTTTTCACCTTGCTGGATACGGGTTGAAAAGTCCGTCAAGCAATTTTGGCCTTACTCGATAGCTTTCAAGAGCTGCATCTCGAATGGTAAGCCTGAGTAATTATTGTATACAGTGTATGTTTGTTTTTTTATATCTAATTTCATGAAGTCGAGCGCAGTTTATGAGGCTAATTTATGCACATTTGTATTAAGATCTGAGACAATGATCTGATCTAGTATATATAAGCTTACAGAGCTTTAAAAAGCCTTTAGTCGATATTTTCTCGCCGCATATAGAATGAAAAAACGTTCCGAAGAGTATTTAGTTATAATTTTGGCTGTAGAAAGAAAGCTTTGAGCGATTTTCTTGCCTCGACTTCATCTTTGAAAACAGTAAACACCAGGAAGCCGGCTAAAAGCTTTA